AGTGGGGAGCAAGAGGGCAAAAAACAGTCCGAAAAAGCCCCCCAGCTCCTTCTCCGAAGCTTTAGTCTGAGGAGAAGGAGCTGGGGGGCTTTTTCGGACTGTTTTTTGCCCTCTTGCTCCCCACTGTGCCAGAACCCCCACTTTATATGTGTGTAAGGACGGAATGAAAATGCCCAGCCGAAGGATGGACCCATATCTTAACACTTCCATTTGGTACCTAAAACTGAAAGATCTAGTACCCGACGACTCGGGGAAATACACTTGCATAGTGTCCAATCCATATGGCAGTATAAATCACACTTACACGCTTCAGGTTGTTGGTGAGTTTAGCAAAAATGTACTCAATTATGCAGCAGTGCTTTCCTTAGCAAAGATGGGAAACGCAGCGCTCCCGTTAAAGTTTTGTTGGTATAAATATTATTACTCAAATCAATCTGATACTGAAAATATCTCTGCAATATATCCTACTATACAGTAAAAGCGAGTATGATCACCAATTTGGTATGTATAATGTAGAATTATATTAAAAATTACCTTGAAGTTTATAGTCCATTAACCTCTTTGGTTTTGCATGTCATTGCACAGTGTAGAAATAAAAAACCAAAGCAATATCGGTTTTCTTCCGATGTTCAGTTCAAAACGAGTATACTCTCCGTAATCCATTGACAACTTTCGCAATTCCTGATTGCTCAGGAAACTAGACGTCCAACGCTTCTAATTTCATCATCTGTACAATCAATCAAAACTTTCTCATATTTCTTCTTTTCCCACAAGGTTATTACATTTCATTTTCAAAACAGGCAATATCACATGAAGAGTGGTCATAACCCGCATTAATCAATGACTTTTCCTTAATAAATAAAGTAAATACTTGCAAACTATTAACCACCGGTTTTCCTTTGGCACTCCAATGAATTTGAATTACAACGAAAATTAAGCTTTTACGCCACCTGTGCAACTGGCCATGTCTACAAGATTGTAGAAGTAGAGTCAAGCTACAAATCATACTTATCGGTCTTAATTATTTTGTTTCTGTGTCCTTTGTTTAGGAGCACCAACCTTTTCTGATCCAAATATGTTAAAAAGAGCATTTCGAGCATGGCCAGCATCACACTCGATCAGATTGAAGTGTCAAGCGACTGGAGCGCCACCTCTCAAATACACATGGTTAAAGGACGGAACGAAAATGCTCAGGCGAAGGATAGACCCACATCTTAACACTTCCATTTGGTACCTAAAACTGACAAATCTAGTACCCTACGACTCGGGGAAATACACTTGCATAGTGTCCAATTCATATGGCAGTATAAATCACACTTACACGCTTCAGGTTGTTGGTGAGTTTAGCAAAACAAAAATGTAGTCATGCACGTCTACTTCTAAAAAAAAACTGCAATGGAAAAGTAAGGCGATTTTGTTTATAAAGTAAAACATGACTTAATTTGCCGAGTTTCCGCACCATGCACCACAGACACTTTTGGTATTGTAACTGCTTGAAATTAAAAATACATTTCCATCATCTTCTCAACAGCTAAGCCACGATCGCGGCCCATCTTACAGACAAGCCTTCCAAGGAACACAACCGTGCAGATTGGAGATAATGCAACGATGACATGCATTGTGCTCGTTAGTGGAACACTTCCAGTTTTCAGATGGCTGAAATGGGACAAATCCGTCTTATCAATAAAGAAAATTGGTGACGACTTTGAGAACGGATCATACCGCCTTATAGATCCACATTATTACAAGACTATCCGAGTCAAGGACCATTACGGCGTTGAGTTGAGAATAACTAATGTTACCGAGGATGATTTTGGACTCTACACGTGCTTTGTAAGCAATCATATCGGCAACGATTACAACAGTGCTTTCCTTAGTAAATATGCGAAACCCACCGCCTACGTTAAAGGTCAGTTATTCTCATTATTATGCAAATAAATCTTATATAGCAAAAAATGTGTCTGCAATATGCCCAGCTATAAGGTAAAGACGGTAAAGAGCATAGATCACCAATATTGTGTGTATAATCGAGAAATGTTATGCTCGTCGGAAATCTATAAATGCCTGTCTCCATCAAACTTGGAAAAGATCAGAAAATGATGGCAAATGTTCGAATTACCTTCAAAACACTGCGCTGTCAATGCTGTAGTGCTAGGCAAAGAATGGGGAAAGTGAGAGGGGAATCACGGGTGCAACCCTCACGTGGCATAGATTTTTGACCAATCAGAACGCGTGCATCGCGGCGTATCGTTAATGATGGCGTTTCACGATTATTCTTAAACTGGAAACATTTAAAATATATTTACAGTGACGATACCAAGAATTGTAAAGAAAACTGGGGACGGCATTGCAGGAACGGCTTCAACTGAAGGTGAGCGGTTAAAATGCAGTCAGTGCGCACAAGATCAGTTATTTCATCAAGTGGATATCTATCGCCACCCTTCTTGCACGACGGGTAAAAGAAAGGGTAGCAGAATGAGTGGTTATCGTTTCCTGTAATAAATATTTTGAAAATTGCAAATACTGTAAGCTAGAGTTGGTAAAACGAGTTTATGTCTGACTGTCTCAGTGTCTGTACGTTTGTCTGTCTGTCTGTCTGTCTGTCTGTCCGTCTGTCCTGTCTCTCTGTTTGTCTGTGTGTCGTTCTGTCTGTGTATGTGTCTGTCTGTGTGTCTGTCTGTGTGTCTGTCTTCTGTTTTTCCTTCCCTTTCAATTATCTCTGTATTTCTCTCTGGCCAGGATTTCAAGCAAGAAAAGAGCCTCAGTCAAATTCTGTTCGCCCCTATGTTTTGATTTCTGTGGCAATACTGTTATGTGGAGCTCTTGTTATTTCAGTGGTCATCGCGTGGTATTTTTGGCAAAAACGAAAACTCAAGAAGAGTACGCCACCAAGAGCCCTAATAATGGACTCGATTGAACGATCAGGATCCTCAACAAAACCACGTAACGAGTACGTCTTTCTCTCCCAGTCCTGAGGGGTCTGCTTGGTTACTGACCATGCTTGAGCCGTCTCGCGGTTTACATCTTATAATGCAAAGCACCTGTATTAAACAATTAAGAGTGTTACTTGTAGGACGGGTTGACGTAAAGATACCCAACAGCAGAATTAAGTCAGATATAAGACATCGTATGTACCCCTATAGAGAATACAGCCAATCAGAGGACTAGAAAGTGGTTGCCTCTTCCAATATTCATCTCGGTGTGGCAAACTTGACGTGAACTGTAAGTTTAAATGTATGTTTATTGTCATTTGTCTTCTTAAAGAAAGCTTATAAAGGCCACAAAAACCAAGGCAGTGTCCATACTACACCGGAGAAATTTGAAAAGGCCGGCTTTTCGTTTTCGTGTGAACGGAATACATTTTGAAAACGGAGCTTTTTGAAAACGATGACCTCACCGAGTTTTCCTTTAACACAAATCCAAAATGACCGTTGATTGTAGCGTTTTTAAATTCCTTCGGCGTAGTGTGGACGGAAAACGTTTGAAGCGTTTTCAGAGTGAAACCTCCATTTTCAAAGGAGACCAACAGAGAAAAAAATACTTAAACATAATATAAACACCTTTCACCTACCTCAATAAGAATTAAATGAATACAGGAATGAAAAATTTTAGACTGTACTGAAATTGTAACTTTCAGTGTATTTCTCTCCTGAAAAGGAGGCTTCCGGAAGTTGCTCAGCGATGCAATGTGAACCTGACGACAAGAAAGCACACCTTTATTGTTATTGATCACAGAGCTTTAGAAACAACTTCATTTCCAGTCCACATTTTTAAGAATCTTTCAGTGACGACACAATTCCCGCTAGAGGCGATGCCTTTCGCAAATTATTTAGTCAGTTTTTTCACATCAACATTTTGGTATTCAACAACGGTCAACAACTAATCAGACGTTAACGATTTATTAAATAGAACTATTACACACTCCTGATAAAGACGTTAAACTACGTGAATTCTACTAGAACTCTCGACACTAAAATTTCATCTTCTTTATTTTGACATTTTCTATCAATCTGATGTTTTTTCGTCGACCCATTAACTAAAAGCAGGAGCTAAAAGCCATTAGCATTTGTTACAGCATACGTGCTCTCCGCCGTCTCTTTGTTGTGAGGTCTTGTGAATTAATCTACGACTAATTTATTGCCGGTCGGAGACAAAGCAGCGAACTAGGCGGCTTGGCACATAAGAATTCATTGCCCTTTCATCGTTTGCGTTTCTGTTTGTTCCCTACAAGTTGCAAACATACCAGTTTACAGCGCTAAGTTATTTATCATTAGTTTCCAATAAACTGTGATGAGATCGAAGACCAATGTTTATCATTCTTCAGACCTCCCCCAATAAAGATATTCCATCAGCTCGCGCGCGTTAGAATGATTTTTGATCATGACGGCGTGTGATTGGCGGGAAATTATCCACCATATCTCGAAGATCATAGATGTTATTGAACTTTGAACTACTACTTATCAGTGAAGTGCATCTAAATCGGTCGAGTTCACGAACTTAATAGCGCCTTGGCAGTGGCAGTTGCTTTGTTCTGACGAACGAGCATTCTAGTTGCCATGGTTACCCACAAAATCATCGACAGTAGTTGATAGTTCTCTAGGGCCTGAGTATCACCACTTTCCACGATACTGGGGAAATTTTGATTTGCTACTCCTTCATCAGTGCAAATGACAATTTTCTTTTACATCAGAAGAACTTTTTTACAGGACTTTTCTAAAAGTGAAATCGGATACAGCTGTTAGTATTTTTCAATTTCCCTCATGATCAGTTCTTGTGATTTCCGTGATATTTTTCCAGAAAGTCAGTCAGAAAGACTGCTGTTCGTGTTGATCTATACGACCTGTTTACTAAGCTTTTGAAATTTTTAATAGTTGGTGGGTTTTGCCTCGTGACAGACAGCTACCCAATGATTGCACAGAGCAATGCGGGCGGAAACTGATCGGAAGGAAAGTTATGAATTGAGCCGTAAACGGGTCTTCATTTACGTACTTAGCTAAACGGATTGCGTTAAGACAGCCTCTCATCTCTAAGATGTCCAACGTAACGTCTTTGTCTTCTACCAGGCTCGCAAATGCCCTTTCTTCCCGCAGTACCACTTTACAAGTGATAGAATCCACAGCTGTACTTCTTATAAACGTGTTTGCACTCGCCGGTAATGCCCTCCTTTACTTAGCTATCACAAGGAACCCCCGCCTTCGACGGAACACCACCAATCTATTCATATTGTCCCTGGCCTTTTCCGACATCCTCATGGCCTTGCTGTGCATGCCGTTCTCGGCTGGAGTCTTCATTCAAGGACGGTGGGTTTACGGTCAGTTCGTCTGCCAGATTCAGGGGGTCGCTTTTTTCGTGTTGGCCTTCGTTTCCCTAGAAACTATGGCAGTAGTTGCAGTTAACCGCTTCGTCAATGTCACAAGACCAGCCGTTTATCGCCGGATTTTCACACGCAGAAGATCGCTCAAAATGATTATCTTCTTATGGCTTCTTTGTGTAGTTTACGTCGCCCTATTTGCTGGTTTAAAATGGCCAGCTTTTGTCTTCGACCCAGGGAAAACAATTTGTCATATCAAGATATCGGACCGCGCTTACAGAACAGCCTGGAATGTTATAACCATAGTTATTTTCGCGTTCCTACCAATGGCTACCCTGTTTCTTTGTTATTGGAGAGTTCTGAGGTCCGTTCGCCGGCATAACGCGGACACCCTCCGCTCGCTTCGCGCGTGCAGTCTACATGGTAACGCCCGTGTACTGGAAGACATTAAGATAAGTAAGCTTATCTTAGGCTTAATAGCTGGCTTTGCCTGCTGTTGGATTCCGTCATACGGAATCGCCTACACTAAACTGGCGTACCCTCCTATCGCTGAGCAGCGCCTACCTCAAACTCTGTGGGTGTTTTTGGTATTCAGCTCTAGCGCGATAAATTCCGTCATTTACGGAATTCTAAACCGAACTTTCCGTGCTGAGATTCTCAAGATGATTACTTGTCGCAGACGAGGAGACATCGCTACTGAAGACAAAGAAATGATTCATTTGTGAAGAAAGGGAACAGTACAGTAGTTATTGTTGTTAGTTGTGAGCTGTATGCAGCTGTTCAGCTCGTTAGGTTAGTTTCCCTTAATGTAAATGCGAGACTTCGCGAGAAGGCGAGACTAGCGCTCTTCTTTGCGAGCCCGAGATATTTTGACTTCTTCAATTTCCAGACCGAGACCTCTAAGTGTTTTAACTTTCAGGTTTTAAGACGTTTAGACGTCATAAAAAAAGAAACAAATTAAAATCGGTACTTCGAGACTTTTTCAGCCTTGCAAAAAAATAAAATCGAGACTTCGAGTTAGCCTTGTGAAAAAATCGAGACCTCGAGACATACACTGAACTGCTAAAAAACCGAGACTGCGAGACCCGTCAAATTAGACGAAAATTTTGCGAGAGCGATGGTTTTGAAAGGACCATTCGCCACTCCTCTCAATGAATAACAACATAATCCCACAAAGTACAAGATGTTTTCATTCTGTCCCGTTCTACTGAGAGAGAATAAAAGCCATACCAACTAAAATATCGCACACGAAATAGTGAATTTCCGATCGACCGATCGAGGAAAGCAGACAAACTAACATACCAGATTTTTATCTATACGTCAAGTTGGGTTGTTAGCTGCAATATTGTTTCTTTCAAGAACGTTCAACAATTCTGTTCAATTTACCAATGTAGGTCTTAGGTAACTTTCGCTTACTACAGATTCACGAGTTTACATGGAGGATGTTATTTTGGCATCGCCCAGTCCGTTGGCAATGTATATGGCAAGCCTAGTTTAACCCGGTTATCGGTAACAGACGGGGAAAAAGCTACAATTTTCTGATGACGCAAGGAGTCTTTTTCCGTGAAATAATAATAATAATAATAGTAATAATAATAAAATGTTCCAAGCCATTCAGCTGTCTTAAAGATTGATGCTATCCCCAACCTGTCTGCGAAATACAAACATGAAGCAATCTTATCTTGAAAAGGAAATGAAAATACTACTTCTATTTCCGTTAATTAGAACTTTTCAATTATACCAAAGTCAACATGGCGTCAATTTGTGCGTCACCCCTGATGCCATGTTGTGTCCGTTATTGCGCCTAGAAGTCTTAATTAGGTTAGGGAACTCTATTCAATTTAATTGCTTTGGATTCAAAGAGATGTTTTAGCGTTGTCGTCGTTCTCGTTTGAACAATCTATAGAAAAACGCTAGCAAAAACTTAATTTGCAATAAGCATGTTAACTAACGTTAGGACACCTCAGAGTTACCTTCGAAAGAAATCGGTAACGTTCGGTTTTGTTCGGGAATTCTCCGGCGGTGAAATTCAGAAATTGTCGGATATCTTCGGAACGTTTTCAGTATCTTCGATCGGAAGAGGCTGATAAACTTATGAGTCTTTTTTCAGTTCTCGCTAACAGGGCGAGGCCAGACGTAGGGGAAGAAACAGTATACGGGTGTTCTTGTAGTCAGTCGCTATGTGTTCTTGGGCCATTTTGGGAGTGAAGATTGGATACGAGAGCGGTCACAGCGCAGGGAGTCATTGGTTGGAACACGACCAGATAAGGGACGCCAAAGTTATCTTGTGCCTCTGTTTCAAAACGAGTCCTTCTGCAAAACCTTTCATATGAAAATGAGTTTGATTTGCATGAAAATGAACCTGTTGGAGGAACACATTTTCATGTGAACGGAATCGCAAAAAGAGGCAATAGGCAACTCGGAAATGGCCGCGTTTTGCATTCTTTCCCAGAACGCCCCTCTTACCATCCATACCACTCTCGAATCCAATCCTCTCTCACAGAAATAATAAAAATACTGCGGTTATAAATATGACAAAACAATGTGTGGAGCATTCAATTAAAATATATTCTCTGATTTCTTCTTCTAATGTATTTACAACATCTTATTTTGTTTCATCACGCGATCCGTGAGGTCCTTTAAATTACATTACAATTCCATAAAAACATCAAGAACAGCCGATATGATAAAGCACTTACTGACTGAGTATGGAGAGTATGACTAAATTATAAAGACTCATGGCTGTAACAGTATCCAGTCCATGCATCACACGGTTGCGCGCCAAAAATATTCCCGTTAAGACCTCCCTCTCAGTCAATACGTACCCGATATATATTTCAGTGTTGAAAAACTTCCAATCTGTGCTAATCAGAATAAATAATGTGATAAAAATTCAATAAAACTATTAGTAACTTGTTTAAATAAAACAACAGGCAAATTAAAACTACTAAATATACACTATTTCTAAAATTATTACATATCAAATCATAATCAATATTTTTAAAAATAATTTGGTCATAGTTTATTACAAATCCAGCCATGTGATTGACGCTTACATGGTGATTTCATCTCTGATCACGTGGGTTGACAAAAAAAGTAAAATTACAGTGAACTAGTTTTGGAGAACTTAACTTTTGTAAGACATGACCACGGCGTATTTCTAAAATTAAAACAATGCTGTCAAAGAAACTGGATAAAATTTAAGATTTAATTTTGTGTTTCTGTGATCACTTAAAACTATTATCAATAAAGATTTTTCACACGACAGGTCTGCTACTTGTCGCACATTCCTAATTCTTCGATATGGTCACGCATTCTGAGTTCTTACGACATGACCGCGTAGTCTCTTGGATATTGTCACGCATTCCCAGGTGACATGGCTTTATCTTTTAAATGCTGTAACATTTCCCAGTTTCTAAGACTCAGTCACGCACTGCCAGTTCTTTTCATGGTCACGCACTCTTGTAACGGTAATCATATTTTGCATGGCCATCGAATGGAACCTGGCGACCGTTAATAAGTGACTGTAAAAGCCACTCCAGTGAGACGATAGGAATCCCCAGACTCGCAGCGTGTTTGACGCTTTCAGGAAGCTTGTTATCCTCGCAGATAACAACATCGCAATGATAATCAACGCGGCTTGGAATTTTGGTGACCATCTTACATCCCGCAGCAAGCAAAACGCTGGACCAAGTGTCTTTAAACTGCTGACTCCCGTGAAGATGAACCTTATTGATAGCAAAACAAAAAGTAAAATAAATATATGGCAAATTACTCTCCACACTGCATTTTCCTGTGGACTCAAAACTCTCATAAGCGTAGATTTAGTTATGGTCCCAGCTACGTATGAACAGCACAGTTTTCCTCCTTTAGTGGGCACCTTTTCTGGTGGCTGTTTACTCATGGCAGGTACCGAAAGAAGAGGAAAATTTGACAGTTCGTGCCTCGTTCCCAGAGCCAGATGACTTCCAGCTACCGCTACAGGGGAATCCTTGTTTACAATATTTGCTTCATTAGCATAAGCAATTCAGTTTCTGATGGAACTACAAATAACTCAGTTCTGAATATTGAAAGGTTATAGTACGATTAACTCTGCCAATGAATATGAGCCTGATGTATTGAATACTTTTTGTGCAACACGTGTTTAAAAACTCAAAATTTTACAAAGAATGTATGAGCTCATTAGCGCTTTTGCCACCCAGAAATTTTGTAGTTTTTGAAAGACAATATCTCCTTGAATATTACACCCAAAGAGCTAAAATTTCACCACGTATTAAGTTTCACTAGCTCTTTAGCTGCCTGGAGTCAATTCATATCTAACATGTTTCCTTCTGTAAGCAAAGTCGTATGCAAATGAGCAAAAATGTAAACAATGACGTCAGCATGTATTCCCCTATGCGTGTTGGAGAAACAAGTGCAAATCCTGGCGAGTGGGAGTACCAGAGTGCACTCTAGAAAGTTGGCGCCACTGATGATCGTAGGGAGGGCTCAGCTTTCAGCGGTAGGACGTCTACTTCTTTGTTCCCAGGGTCTCCTTTATTTTCTTTCCCCTTTCCGCTCTCAAGAGTGGCGGGGAGAAATGCAACCATGGGAACGAGGTTGAAAAAACAAAAGCGCGCAACGCAACAACAAAACCATTTTCACACAAAACTATGTACGTGTGAGCTGAACTGTTTACTCAAGTAGCTTAAGGCCCGTCCACACTACACCGGAGAAATTTGAAAACGGAGGTTTCACTCTGAAAACGCATCAAATGCTTTCCCACCACACTGCGCCGGAGAAATTTGAAAACGCAACAATTACCGGACACTTTGGATTTGTGTTTCAGGAAAACTCGGGCAGAGAAATCTCACGATTATCGTGACGTCATCGTTTTCGAAAAACTCCTTTTTCAAAATGTTTTCCTTCAGCACTAAAACGCAAAGCCGGCGTATTCAAATTCCGCCGGTTTGAAGCACGTTTCCGAGAAGTTCTGTTTTCCTGAGATGACCCATGGGAGGTTGCCATGGTTACCCCCTTTATTTGCAGTTTTCCCACACTCGCTTGCCCATTGCCTGCTTTGCTGTCAATTGGCACCTACCCTTTATTTGAATATTGCTTATCGACAAGTTAACTGACTGGTTAGTGTGGACGGTGGGCCTAACCATAGAAATAAAGCTGCGTTTTCAAATTCTTGCGACGTAGTGTGGACAAGGCCTTAGATATCGCATTGGTTAGTGCTATGCTATGCTTTAGGTCCGAACACACGGTGAAACAACGCGGTTGCTCGCCATCATTGCTGCCTGTAACGTCACGTGAAAACAACAGGCCCTTTGCACGATCCGGTCACATGGTGCAAAATCACATATGCTGGGACGAAAGTTGCACAGTGGGACTTCCAAAACAAAGCAACTCGTACCAGTCCACCTTGACTCGCCTTTGTTTTGGAAGTCCCACGGTGCAACTTGCGTCCCAGCATGTGTGATTTTGTACCATGTGACCGGATCTTTCAAAGGGCTTATTACCTGAAAGAGTTGGTGTAACTTAGAAATAGACCCTTTGCACGATCCGGTCACATGGTGCAAAGAACGCAAGTTGCACAGTGGGACTTCCAAAACAAAGGCGGGTCAAGGTGGACTGGTACGAGTTGTAGTCCCACTATGCAACTTGCGTCCCGGCATGTGTGATTTTGTACGATGTGACCGGATCGTGCAAAGGGCCTATTATTCGCAATGTTGCCGCGTGTCCGCGAGTTTAATTATTAACGGAAATCCACTCACCCGCATATCGCGTAAGATGTTTCTGCGTGGCCGACACTCCACTATTCCGCCTTCCTCTAAGCTTTCCCCTGCAGGAAGTAGATATCTCTTGTAGTCCAGACGACGATCACACGTGCAGGAGTCATTAATCCACACGTGCGACACACAAGGAATTCCAGAGGCCAGGGACTGGAAATACTTTTGAGTCCGCTGGTGTGTGTGCGAGATGAGGAAGCACTCCGTGCTAGAGATCTGGGATTGAGAAAATGACGACAGCACGACGCCGCCTCCGGCCTCGATCTGGCGTTTGAGATGGTCGCGATTGAACTCGATTCTCTCTGATTCGCTATCCGATTCCTCGGGTTCGTTTTTGTCCCTACCTACACCAGTCACTAGAAAAGCTAACCCCGCAAATATGTTTCTGTTGCCAGGCAGACAAGGTGATTCAACGGTGTCTTCTTTTCCGCTCATCTGTTTACGAGGCGAACGTCGCGTCGGAGCGGCGAACGGTTCATTGACTGTCGGCTTTGCAGGTGATTTTGCGCTGTACGACGACGACAGCCCTCTTTTAACTGGTCGTCTTTTGCTCGCAGCGGCAGCGTGTTGCTCATCAGAACTCGATTCACTTTCAGCAATCCTATGTCCCGCTCGTCTCGCTTGTGCTTTGACCTTATGCGATGACTTGTGTGTAGACTTGGGCGTTATGTCAGTGCTCGCAGTCGCAGCTTTTGTTAGTCTAGGACTCTCGTGCGTTGAGGCACGAGCGGCATTCTTTCCCCGAGCCCTCTCCTCACTTGAAGTGTCACTTGTGTCTTTAGAGCTTGTACTTCCCGACTTCGTGATGTTGTGCATACTTGCCCCACTACTTGCAGCGCTTCCCTCCTTCCTCCTCAAGCTATGAGCACCAATACTGATGCTTGAGCCACTCGTAACATTAACGGAACTCTCGCTCGACAGAATGACCGCAGCTTGCGGTTCTGATAAAATAACTCTACTTCGAGGATACCGGCTAATTGCGCCACTCTGGGTTTGTATCTCGTAACCGCGTGAATTTCCTTCTCGATAATGGCCGACGATGACTCCTTCCTCGTAAAAGTCATCCTCATCATTCCCTTGAGCCATGACACTTTGCCCCGCAGGAAGTAAATCTTTGATGATGAGGTTTTCCCTCGGTATCCTTCGTTTATCACCGTCATCAAATGTGACCAAGTACCGGCCGTTCTTGTACTGCTTTGTAGTGATTACTCCTGGATAGAAGTAACTGTCCAGCCACTTGGCCAACACGCGGGTTCCAGGTGTCAGAGATAAATCACTTGATGAGCTGCGTTTGAGATCTGCTTCCTCTTCCACAACGGGCATGGTGGCCTGTCTAGTAACCGCAGGGGTTTCTTCAACTGTGGGCTCATCCCTTCTCTGATGGTCTTCGCCTATTCCATTTCCTGAATCATCCGAGCCTCTATCAGAACCACTCTTCTCAGATGTTGTCATGGCTAGTTGCTTGGTTGATGTCCTTCCAACTGATTTAGACGCAGACCTGGTGGTAACTAGCGATTTACCATTCTTAATTCGAGGAGAGCTTCTGCTTTGCTGTTGGTGCTCTTGCTGTTTTGGTGACTTTGAAGACAGCGTCAGACGCGAGCCATCGACAAGATCATGTACCTGTTCCTCCTCTTCCTCCTTGTTTTCGATTTGTGGTGCCAAGTCTTCTTCCCAGGTTAAGACCTCGACCACTTCGCCGGACTCCTTACCGACGACGCTGACTGTAACCACTCGTTGGACTTGAGTCGTTACTGTGGTAATAGTACGCATGTGAGTGATTTGCTTGTATTGCTTCGGTTCTTCCTCCTCCTTTCGCGCCCGTTTTGACCGTTCTACTGGTAGGTCGCTCTCAGATGATTCACCGCTTTCTTGACGCCCACGTTTGCCGCCAACTCCTTCTTGCAAAGAAGTAGGTTTTGATGTTCCTTCTTCCTCTCTGCGATCCTCAACTGATTGGTCGTTGGACAAGCTTGGGCCCTCAACAATTCTGTAAGTTGATGCATCACGAGTTTTAGTATTGCTATCGTCCTCCTCTCTTGACCTAATCTCTTTTCCTCGCGTCCCTCGAGGAGATCCCCTTCTTGGCTTTTTTCTTACTGGTTCAGGCGCCTCATCTTCGGCGGTAAACGCAAACGGATCGTTGTCTTTTTCCACGTGTACTTCTCTTTTCTTACTTTTTGCGATGGCCTCTCGAGCGTGACTGAATATTGATCGCGAGGGCTCAGAGGCACTGGGCTGGAGAAGGCCTGATCTGCCCGGCGTCGTGGAAATCGGAAGGGCAGGCTCGAAGTGAAAGACTGGTTCTGAACTTTCTGAGTCACTAAATGGGGAACCGTGACGCGGCATAGACACTGTGAGGGACTGGGGCCTAATCTGATCCAAAGAACCTGATGGAGCTACAAAGAAAATAAATCTGCGTAAACGAGTGGTATAAAACTCAAAAAATAATAAAACCTGCGCGTTATGCCATTTTAGGCGATTAAGTTACATACAAAAGTGGTCTAATGGGGTGTTGTCTTGAATTTAGCACGAAACAAGTTTAGATCTCAAATTTGTTTCACAAAAAAGTCGGGCAAACTTTTGTCAAATTCTTTTCTTCTCTTGAAAAAAATACGTTGATAATTCATTACAATTTGTCGCAAATTCCAATAGCACCTCTTAAAAATCAAATGAAACTTCTAAAATGGAAGTTGAAACTATAGAAGAACAAAAAATTGATTGAAAGCCAATGAGATTCACAGATGGTAAAGTCAAGTTGGAGAATTTCACCATCTGCCAATAACGTCTCTAAGAGGGTATAATTATCAACCATTGGAAGGCAAGCTCGAGGTTCCTATTAACGTAGAAACCTAGAGTGGACTGTCTAAAGACCGACCTATCTATAAACCCCCCAAAATATATTCTTTTAAGAAACTCCAAAAAAACATGAAACCACTTTTAAACCTGACAAGCTCCCGGTGCCGTCTGTCGATAATAGATGGCCCGTTTGTCACCAAATAAGATAGCAAATTCACCTGATACATAACGATTCTGTGGGTTACGCTAAATGAAGAAAGGGGAGCGCTTGGTCTAAAACTAAAAGTCCAAATCATACCTTGACTGGACATGCCCGGCGTCTCTGTTACCACAGGCAGAACTACATCCGGGATAGTACTGCGTCTACTGCTCCTCTCCTCTGAGTCCGGAGTGTCGTAACGAACGGGTCTTATGGGGGGTGGGGTGGCAGACATTAACGGTTTCAGCGGCTCTTTTGGTAAAGAAAAATGAAACCCAGTGGCAGATTCGCTTGAGGTTTCGGAAAATATTGCCACCGGAAGCCGCGGTTTTGTCGGTCTCCTTGCGGGAATGTCTTTTTCAGGTGTACTTAACTGTTCTTTTTCAAGTTCGACGCGCCCACTTTCCTCGCTGGGAGCACCTCCCCCAGAATTTTCAGCCAAGAGGAGATTTTCAGGAGTTGTTACGATAGGATCAGTGGAAGGGTGGGAATCTTCCCCTATGGGAACTTTGTTGAAGGACATACCATCTCTGTCTGCAAGATTTTCAGGTAAGTCGCCAGACATCTCCACATTCTGCTTTTCTGGATTTAGCTTTCTATTTCCATCCTCTGGAGCATGAAACACTTTAGACTGTGGCTGCACCAACGGAGCCAAGATCGACTGACTGCTTGAGTCTTGTTTCGTCAGTGACGCCACCTCTTCCTTTCGAATTAGTTCAGCAGGCTTGTCCTCTCTGGCGTCATCTGCCGGCTCAACAACAATCACCTCCTGGTGCAATTCCTGTGAAAGTAAGCCTACATGTCCACCAAAAGAGGTTGCACATTCGAGAGTTGAATGACAAGCTGTGCATACATTTTAGTACATCATGATGAAGAAGATCTACCGGGCAACTCTTTTTTAAACTTAAAACAATCTGTTGGTCAGTCCTTGGCGTTTCAGTAGCAAGGAGTGACTTACAGTGTTTTTAATTTCCACTGGATGGGATCCTAGCCCATCATAGGGTTACCACCAGCATTAAATTTCTCTTTGCAATTCTTACATTTTCAACATGCAGTTGACTCCCGATAACTCGAACCCTCGCCAACTCGAACCTCCCGCTAATCGAAGTAATTTTCATTTCCCTTCAGGCCATTTTCTATGTAAATTTACCCTCAATAACTCGAACTTCCGATAACTCGAACCTTTTACTGTTTCCCCTGAAGGTTCGAGTTGTCGGGAGTCGACTGTACTTTCATTTTCAGCATCCTGAAGAATTGCCGAGCCCAAAACGTCTTGTTTATGCTATTAAACTATTGGACATTTTTAAGAGCTTTTTCAGTCTTATTTGTAGTAAACTGTCCTTAGACCAGATACATATGGGTTAAGACTTCACTACATGAGTAAAGTGGACTCAGGATACAGTTTTAATTAGCTCAGGATTACCTCATCAATCACCTCCATTGCAGTTGGTACCTGGTTGTCCGTGTCTGTTTGTGACTGGGTCAGGTGTAGAGAGAATGGCACCACTATGTCCTGAGAATCTTCAGCCATGTTTTCTTCTTCTACCATTGGCTGATCAGCTGATTTATCTGTTACAACATTACAAAGCTATTACTACCGCTCACTCTTGCCAGACCCAGAACTGACAACTTTTGATTCTCCCCCATAAGTACAATAAGACACTATCCCTAGTTGACGATTTTCTTTTTACTTTGTAAGCAGTATGCTGACTGCCACCCACCCACCCCTCTCCAAAGAGGAGGTACTTTGCTGCATTCAGTAGGAGAGCAGGAATGGTCATCTAGATCTCGGACCTACATGCATGATCACCTTCCTCCACTCAGATTTAAATCATCTTATTACATAGCATTTTTGAAACGACTAAATACAGTGAAACCCTGTTAATCCAGTCACCAACAGGCCACAAAAATATGGCAGTATTAATGGGGTACCCTATTTAAGGAGTTCTTTGAATGAGAAAATGACTGACTGAGCTTTTGATTGGGCTAAAATAAAGTGGCCGTAATAATGAGGTGGCCATATTAATGGCATGACTGCAAGACAGGGCTGCCCTGTTCTGGGGTTGGATGGGCGATATTTTGTGACACTTCTTTTTGAGAGCTTTCACAGGATTTGTAGAACCTAGGTCACATGATATTTGCAACTTCATGATACAGACCAAAGATTCCAGACAAAAAAGTTACAACAACCAAAAAAAAATGTGGCTAAATGTAATTTAGGCTAAGTTAAACATGAGACAATGCTGGCCAGCAGTATCTCCCAGGGTTTTGGTGTGGGGTGGCCGGGGGTTTCGTGCAGGGGCACCACATGGTTTACAGTTAAGCTTCAGATGTCAAGTCATTCCGTGTTTGTTATCGCTATCGGGTAGTTCTCACGGTGCTTTTCTTCCCGGCTCATCCCTCCCTCTAGTCATGGTAAGTATGTGGGAAGTATCTGTGTTTCCACTGTTTTTCAGTGTGACGGTGCCAGTTGGGTGGTTGCCGCTCACAGGGTTGTCATGGTTACCCTATGCGTTTGGCTCGGTGTCACTTGTGGCTTCACCCTCCTTTTAGGCACCACTCCCCAAGCTCATCTATTGTGGATGAGTGTAATACATAAGAATACATAAAAAACCTGAAATATCCTGCTGTTCTTGTGTAACAACTGGACAGAACATATCTTCACTCAACACGGGTTGTGTGGGACCTGGGATTAACACAGGACTTTCCTCTGTTCCTTTACCATTTCCATCATCTGGTTTAAAGGGATCTATTGCAAGAGATGATGGAGAAAGTGACAACTGGTTCCCTTGTGGTGCTTCCTTGGGACATTCTGCCTTGGAGATAAGAGGCACAGCTTCACTATTCTCGAAAAAACTCACATCCACTACTTGTACAGATTGTTGTTTGTTGCAATTAGATGCCTGCATCACAGCTTCTGCCTTTGTGCCTTGGGAACCTGAACTGCTGGAAACAAGTGCACTAACAACTGACTGCCACTGCTGCACCTGAGGTTGTGGCTCACCCCTAAATTGATCATCCCCTGATGACCCTTGTGATGAACTGGTACTCGATGATGACTTCTTTTCGTCGGTACCACCGCCTTGCTGGTGAACCTCTTGCTGTTGTTTTTGTTGCCATTGAGGTAACACCACTACCTCATCATCTGATGTCTCCTTGAATTTGAGGGGTGCAGGCCTCTCAAAATGTTTCTCTTGGTTCTCTGACAAATCAAATGACTGTACTAATTCTGCTGCGGCTCTTGATATCTCTGATGGTTCCCGATCAGCACTCAGTCTGTTACCCCCTGATTGAGCTACCTCATGACCCTCTTCAGTCTGCCTTTGAGAAGAACCCTTCTCAGTGTTGTTCTCTTTCCCACAGGAACTAAATAAATTGAAAATAAAATTACTCATATTTGCAAACATTAAATGTAGTTCAACCCCTATATCTACAGCCAACCTTGGGAAAATGGATAGTGGTCACTTAAAGGGGGCTGACCACTTAATAGAGGCTAAAACAATAGGAAATCCCTCATTGGGACTTTGAATACTGGTCGCCTAGTAGGGGTGGCCATTTAATAGGTGGCCACTAAATAGGGGTTTGACTGTATTTATTAAATGCATTAACTATTTAGTACAATTTACACATCACTTTCCTTTTATTTTCCTTTGTCTTGCACTCATTATCAAACAGGTTTGAAAAATCGCAAATTAAACAAAATTGTTATGTTAAATTTAACATTGTGTAGTTCCAGAAAATATCCATACCTCCTGCATGGAAGGGATTTTTCCTAACACCTCCCCACCCCTCTGGAAATTCCAGTTAAGCTTCATACATTTCTTTAAATTTCTTGGTCTCATAGAACCCCCCATCCCCCAGGAAATTCCAATCCCTTCTATGGGGGGGAGTATGGATATTTTCTGGAACCGCACAATACAGCCACCCTTTAGGAAATGGATAGTGGACACTTAAAGGGGGCAAACAATAGGAAATCCCTCATTGGAACTTTGAGTACTAGTTGCCTAATAGGGGAGGCCATTCAATAGGTGACCGCTTACCAGTAATAGGGGTTTGACTGTATTTATTAAATGCATTAATCATTTATTACAATTTACACATCACTTTCCTTTTATTTTCCTTTGTCTTGCACTCATTATCAAACAGGTTCGAAAAATCATAAATTAAACAAACTTGTTATGTTAAATTTAACACAATAATGTTTAATGATAAAATTTATTTTTCTTGTATAAAAATGTTTTCCACTGCTTATGTTTTGTGTAGTCTGAGATTATTCCCACTCAAAACAGAAGGCCAAACAAAGTTACAAAACTCAAATCAAAATTCTTGCTTATCCTGGGTTAGCTTAATCAGCTTTGAACAACCTGGTCCAGGAGCTCTGCTTTGAGGCTTGGCTAAATCTATTTATTAGTGTGAAGTTTATAGTGAAGTCTGAATTAACTATTAAGATGTTAAAGAACTTTAATTGTAATGCATGCTTGAAAAAGACGGTTGAATTTCAGCCACCTCTTCTGTAAATGAAATGAGGCAGCTGAAATCTCTCAGTCCATTTCACTAACAAAATAGCCGATTAACCTTATAATTTTTCATGTACTCCTTCATTACTTCAAAAGCACTGGCTATTACAGAACCACACCCAGTTTGCTATTAACAAGCATGGTTGAGAAGTTGAAATCAGGTCTATGGCAAATCAAGTCCAGGTAGCTTGTGGATACATGTAGAGCTTGACTTGAATTCATGACCTATGGATTTCATGTCCACTCTGCCACGCTGCCTCTTCCTCTTGCATACATGTAACTGGGTGTTTTTTGTCTTCTCCAGTAAATTGCCCAGTTTTGGTATAATTTATAACTAGCCATCTGAAAATAACTTTGGGCTCATGCATGTTTATTGAAATGAGGTGGCAGCCCCTATCAGCCTGGTGGTTTTTCTAGAGGTCTCCTTGTCCTGTCTAAGTTAGAGCAGTTTTTAATGGACCTTTTCAGCAATACAGCAGCCAGTTAGAGTTCTATTGTCTCAAATAGCTATTATGGGATGCTTAAGGGGCAAATACATATTAATTTACCCCCTAAGCATCCCACAATAATTATTGGAAACAAAAAAATTCAAAATGGCCGTCTTACCCCCTGAAAAGGTCCATTCAGTGTCTTATAACCAAAACCAAACCAATTACTTACCAATTAGATTTGTCAGCCAATCTCAAACCATAATAACACCAAACCAAAGTAATCGCCTGATTTCTTTTGACACTCAATTGAAAATTGATATAATGTAATAATAAATACTGTTAATAGCGGAGCTCCGGCGGCCTGAAGGGCTGCCAAGCGGAGCCCCATACTCATATAGGAGAGAAAAGGAAACCCATGAGTTGATTTTCTCATGGTCATCATGGCTAGCGGTATTGCTCGTG